AAGCTTTAGAAGGCCAAATTTATTATCATCCGAAAAGATAAATTTTATTATAAATCATGCATTATTCTCTCTAAATTCTTAAAGAAATTTTTTGTGTTTAAAAAATATTCATCTAAATGGACATCATATCAAGACAACAAATATGAAAAAAATATTAAATACTTAAATATTATAATTACATCGGATAAAAAATATGTATTGGAGCAATTATCCACTTTCTCTTTCTGTCTTTATTACAAACATTGGAATGATTAAAACAAATGTTATACTAAACCGAAGTTTACTAATTTAAATATTTTTTTATGAGAATTGACCGATTATGTTATCCTGGGTCTTTCATAATGCAAAAAAATATTATAAATTCACATGAGCATCTATTGAAGAGCTACAAGATTATTCAATTTTTATGTTTTGCATGTTTTCAAGGCAAATTAATTATTAAACTATCACCAAGTAAAATTGAGATTGAATATTTAGTATTTTTGAAACATATTCTAGGTGATATATGTGAACTAATTCGTCCACTATGTGAACTATTTAGATATTTTATGATTTTAATTGATGCATTCATAAGATGGTTATATGTATTCTTATTATTTACTCGAAACCTAATGTTTTCGAGATTGCTAGCTCAAATAATTGAATTACGAGTATAATTTTTAAATTATACCATTAAAATAATTTACCTTGACAATACCGGTGAGCTTAACTCTCAAGTATTAAAATAATTACCGATTGGCTATTAGAATCAAGGTTAAATCGTCCATTGCTCATGTTCATACTCGGAAAAGTTTAGCGGAATCGTTTATCAAAAAGTTTTAATTGATAGCTAAACCATTATTTATAAAAATAAAACTCCTTGTTTATGTTTGCGGACATGCAATCTTGCATGCGAGCAAAACTTATTCGCATCGGACTCGAAAGTTATCGAAATGTTTCCTCTTCAATTGGTTAATGATCATGAGTTAAATATTTCTCATTTAAGAATTTTTTGTTGTGTAGTATATATTCCTAGTGCTCATTCACAATGAAATAAAATGGGTCATTAAAGGAGATTGAAAATATATGTTGGATTTGAATGCTCTTCGATAACTAAATATCTTGAACCATAAATAAAGAATACTTTTATAGCTCGATTTATTTACTATAATTTTAATGAAATAGATTTTTCCAATATTAAAGGGAGAGAATACGCAAAATAAACAATTAGAAATATTATAAAAAGATATTATATAAAGTAATCCATCTTTACATAATCTTAATCTTCGCATAAAATAATATGAATTAAAAGTTCAAAAGATAATTTATTTACAAAGTAATATAGACCAACCGCTAGATACATTCTCGGATCCAAAAAGAGTAACTGTTGAGAATACTAATATCGAATTCATGTCCTAAAAAGATAATCTATTAATATTACGAGCAAATGAATCTAAAGCACATCCGAAGTGTGGAAGGCTAATTGATTCTAAAAACAAAAATTACGAAAGAAAAAGATAAATAATCAAGATAAAAATATAAAAGATGTAAATATTTATAAAACAAGTTCAAGATATTTTTGATAATAAGCTTCCAGAATAAATCCAAATGCTTGAGAACAATTAAGAGACTCGATAAATTATTTTAATATAGAGAGAAAATAGGATCGAAAAGAATATTTATTGATAATATTTTTACATATAATATTATAATTGATATTTTGAATGATAATAAAAATCCCGATCCTAAATTTATTGAAGAATATCGATATAGAGATGATTGACTTAAATGAAAAGAGCAATCCAAACAAAATTATATGTTCTTAAAATGAGTAGTTTTTGAACTCATAATCTAATCAAAACACCTAAAGATATTAAACTAGTGGGATACAAATGAGTAATTATGCAAAAATGAAATAAGAAATATGAGATACAAAGCAAAACTTATAACACAAAAGTTTTTACAAAGACACGACATTGACTATGAGGAAACATATTCTCCTATAAGCGATGCTATTACATTTTGTTATCTTGTTAGCCTAGAAAAATATATGAAAAACTTCATATACATGCATTTAAAAATGGATGTGATCATAGGTTATTTGTTTACTTGAAATGATATATATATAAAAGTTTTAGAACAACTTAAGATGCACGAAGCATGTACTACACATTTATAAGAAATGTATTCAATTAAATTATGAAGATCTCTATAATGATTACTTTAGTATTTGTTTTATTATTTTAGTTTTTAGAAATTCAATTTATACTATACTTTTTTATATATTTTTTTATTTTTCAATATCTACTCTTATTACTAACCTATATAAATGTGATGTAATCGCTTAATGAATATTTATTGAAAAAAACTATAAAAATAACTTAATTTATTCATGATTTTTTTTTCAAAAAGAGCTTTGTGATAATTGTTATATATGTTGATGACTTAAATATTATTGAAACTCTCGAAGAGATTCTACGTGCCATAAGTTATCTAAAAAGAGAATTTGATGTGGATACATTGGGAAAATAAAATTTTATCTTGATCTATAGTTTGAGCACTTAGAGAATGAGATTTTTATTCATTAGTCAATTTATGTAGAAAAAGTTCTACGAGTAATTCTATATAAAGCTCATTCGTTGATTAGCCCAATGATAGTTCATTCACTTGTATCCAAAAAGACCTTTTATGATCTTAAGAAGATAACGAAGAACTATTTAGTCCTAAAGTACCATATTTTAATGCCATGGGTATATTAATATATCTTGCTAATAATATCGAACTCGATAAAATATTTTTTATAAATTTACTAGCAAGATATAGTTACGCTCCGATACGAAGATATTGGAATAGAATTAAACATATACTACGTTATCTCCATAGAATTATTGATATGGGCTTATTTTACTCTAGTAAATTAAAGACGAAATTAATTGATTATGTAGATGCAAGTTATTTATCCGATCCTTATAAAACTTGATCATAAATGAGTTATGTATTTATACATAATAATATAGCTATATCATGACGTCTTATGAAGTAAAATGTTGCTAATACATATTCAAACTAAGGAGAAATACCAATCATGAGCAAGTCGAATATATGTTTGGCTAAAACTAATGACCTATCATATTTGAGAGACATGAGGTTTATCTACTAGTAAAGAAGTTTCAACAATAGTGTATTAAGATAATTTTGCTTGTATAATTCAATTAAAAGAAGAATACATCAAAATGACAATGTAATGAACTTATTCACTAAGACATTACCTACCACAACTTTTGAGAAAATGCCATGCAAGATTGAGATGCCTCGACTTAAAAATCTTAAATAATGTTTTTAACAGGAAGAGTCCAACTTAGAGATTAATGCATACAAGGAATTTCGTACTCTTTTTCTTTCACTAAGAGTTTTTCCTACTTGGTTTTTTTGGTAATGTTTTAACAAGGCATGCTCCTTATATGATGAACATTCAAATGAGAATGTTATGAAATAATAAATGTCCATGATTATTTCATATTTTCACTACTCATGTGATTCAATTCACCATTCGGTATGAGAAATTGAAAAGATGATGCAATTTATTCAATTATTTATGCATCTTTTAATGGTTCATAGCCCCTTTCAAATTTTGTTCCTAATCCTAAAGCCTATAAATATGGTTGATTGTTTATTAGTTTGTATAGATGTGTTTTGTAGAAATTGAGAGACTTATTTGGAGTTCTTATCACTTGTATTCACTTTATTTCATATTGAATTTATTTTCTTATCATCTTTTTCTTCTATTCTATTATCGTTACCATTTCTTTTATAACAATATTGTTTTAGTTTCTTTCTTAATTTTACATTCCATGGGTTGCAAAGAATAGTCTTTTAAAATCTATTTCGATATTTTAATTAATGATGAAAATTTATAATCAAAAAAGTAAGAAGAACTAACACATATATTGATATATAGTCATTTATTTTATAAATCTAATGAGTAGCGAAAAATTTAAATAACTATCACATTAGATTCTTTTGTAAAATTCGTTCATACCAATAGCAAGGATTCTTTTCTTTTCTTTTTCGTTTTCAATTTTTTTAACATTATTATATGAATTCAATATGCACTAAAAAAACAATTGAAATTACACATTTTAAATTTAAGATTTTTATGTAGGGTAAGAATATGTATGTTGCTTATTATCTTAATTTATTTAATATTCTATTTTTTTTCGTATTTGATGAGTATAAATATATTTTATGAAACATGTCACATTGTAAAAATTACCAATAAGTAAATGTTTGTTATTGTTTAGTAAAAACCTTAATTTTACACGTAAATTTAACACATATATATATAACTTAACTATTTTAAAAAAATAATCATGAACATTATATTAATAATTGTAAAATAAAATTTTATTTTTATTTTATTGATATTTATAATTTAAAGACTTAAAAAACTTCATGATTAATTTTTTTAATAACAAAAATAATAATTCAAAAAATTAAATATATATATATATATATATAACGATTAATTCAATAAAGATTTTCTATCATTAAAAAAAGCTAAACAAAAAGCAAATCAGAAATCAGGAAAAAAAAAAAAAGAGTGAGTAGGGCCTAGCACTTGCTCTGGACCGACGCCCATTCATGCCTGTAAAAAGGAACAGAAAGAAAGAAAGAAAGAAAGAAAAAGAACAGGGGAGTAAATACCGATCTAGTGCAAGGGCTTTACTACCGTAAATCTGGAAACGACGTCGGTTTAAGATTACTTTACCGTAGAAGCTTATCTTGTTTTAGTTTTTCTCATTCAGAAATTACTCAGGCCGCCAAAAGATGAGCTCCAAAGCCACCAGTGTCCAATTATGCTATGCAGTCTATACTATAAGCTCAAATCTAATCCCAAAAAAGGTCAAAAGCTCAATACACAAAAAGGATAAGTTTATCATATAGCCTCTGCAGGGATTCCATCAAAATGTTTGTTTCAAGCTCACCAAACAAAACTAGCAGACTCAAATTAAGCCACTATTTCAGCAGGCCTTGGGTGGGTATTTGATAGCATTCTTAACAATTTTTTTGGTGGCAGCATCACCTAGATCAATGCCACAAATATCAGACAATCTAATGAGGTATAGCAGCACATCAGATAGCTCTTCTGCTAGATGCTCCTTGTCAGATTCCTCCCAATTTGGCAACCCCTTGTCCACCTCTCCTTTCCATTGGAATATTTCCGATAGCTCTCCTACTTCACCAACCTGCGCATCAAATACGAGGGAAAAAGAAGGAAGACGAATCAATCAAATATTAGCTGATGGAGAATTACAGTCCATCATCAGGAAAATCTTAGCCAGTAATAACCCATCTATGTTGTCACCATCACAGCTACAGGACATAAATGTGGACCTTTTTACACCCTTTATTAGCCAATGATTTAAGCTTCACAAATGGAAAGACAAGGGCACTTTCAGAAATTCCTCAAGTACAATTCCAAACATGAGCAAATTGGCTGAAAAGATTCCTCTGCCCACCTCACCTTATACTACCGTACAATTAGTTGGTGTTTGAAATACTCTCAAGTAGCCATTGAAACTTCTTCCAGCCACATATTTGTTTTGTTAATCCACTGTCCTTGTCAAACTTCTTTCTGAAATTATGATGAATTAAAACACAGTTTTTCTCTAAAAAAAGAATTTCACAGTCAATGAAAAATAAATTAATTAATCCATTTGTTTCAAAAACTAATTATTTAGTTCTTATATTTTAAATTTTCTTATAACTTCATTCTTTTCTTTTCTTTAATTTATTTTGATTTTTTTTAAAAAATAAAAAATATAGAAAGATTAATGAAAAAAATGATATTTTATCAAAGTAAAATAATATTAAATTAAGAATAATCAACATTGATTAAATAATTAATTTTTCAAATAAGAGAGATTAATTAATTTGCTTCTCTAAAATAGGGGGACCAATTTATAATTTACTCACCAGTTTGTGAATGCTCATGAAATGCTTAGGAAAAAAAAAAAGTTTCAAAGTAGTCGGTACTGTTTTTCCAGTCAGTGACACATTGCGTATGCTTCAGCTTCGACATAGATGATTAAATTAGAACAAAAGCTGTCCTTATTTTATATCGTGGCCTTGATTTACTTAATCATCATATCGGACTGTGCTGTAGCCCCAATATACTCAAGGAACAAGAGAAAAGAACACAATTATCAGAAGAGAGAATGTTTCCATGATAAAAGTGAGCCATACTGCCATACATAGGGCAAATGAAGAAGAAGCACTCTGAGCTATGTATGGCCCATGGGAATTTACCCAACAAACACATACATAGAAGATCTTCACATGAATACTCTGTAAAAGTTTAAGGAGGATAGGACATTACCATTGCAAGAAGAAGATTCCTTGGACTATGGTACTTTTCCCAATCTCTGGCCTTGGCAAATTCCTCTAGTTTCTTAGCAAGGTCCTTGAGGCTAATGTTCACTACTTTCTCTTCTGCATGAGTGACATCTTGTGCCTCTTCCATGCTTCAGCTCTTTTTGAGTCTCTTAATTTGCTGAGTAGGGGAGTTCTTATAGCCCTAAAAGGACAGGACCAAAAAATAAAAAAAAATCAAGAGTACAATGTTTCTCAAGATATGTGTATCCTTTGTCCAAATAAAAATGAAAAGAAAAGGACCGAAAGGAGGCAAAATGCCTTCCTCGTGGTTTATACAGGAGATTCGTAGCAGCCCCCACCAAGCAAAATGGCCAACCTCAATACCTGAAATTAATCGAGAATATTCCAGTTTAACCATACTAGTTCATGCTTTACAATGTTTCAAACAAAAGGGCAAATTGAGCTAGCTATACTCAGTTCCAAGGTTAAATTAGCACTGCTAGTAGGATAGCTTTCGGTGAAATTTCCATCTGCATCATATCTTGGGAATTTAAGGTCAATCGTTTCGTGTTTAACACTCTTGTTCAGGTGGATAGATTAGTGTGATAACACAACACAAAAGCCCAATAAAATTTGCTACTGTTAGACATGACACTTCACATTGGATTCCAACCATGGAACCGTCCTTTATTTGCCACTACTAAGTGCTTGCTCCATTATTGCAACGACCTAGCTAGAGCCGTATAAGAGCTAGAGGGCTCATGCCATGGTGAAGTGGTGTAGCTGTAGCACAATGAATGGCTATCATAGGAGAATATTTCTAAACCGATTTGCAGAAGCCTATTGCATTCCCTTTTGGCATTGGCCTTTCGCAATTTGCTGATTGAAGTTTGGAATCTAAACATGATGAAAAGATTATGAGTAAAGGCTTAGAATTAGAAATATGAGTTGAATTATATATATTTTCTTATGCTCTTAAGTTAGAGCAGAACGGAACGACTTTTCTACTAATTAAGACTTCGTTTGTTTGGCGAGAAAACAATTTCTATAGAAAAATTAATTCTTGAGATAGCTATTTTTTAATAAATTGTTTTCCAAAAAAAATATTTTACTGCCTTTTGGCAATTACATGGAAAAACTGCTGAAAAATGTATTTTAGCTTTTGTTTGATACGGAAAATTAAAATAAAAAAACGAGTATATGATTGTTACATCAAGAACTTTTGAAAAAACTTCAATAAAGCATATTCATAATTTTACAATATAAGGTACATTTAGAAAAATTTAATAAATTTTCATAAATAATGACTCTAAAAATTTAATTCAAAAAAATACAATCTATTTTTTTAACCATCAAACCAATTCATCAAAATTACTTGGAACAAAATCAAGTTAATATTCAAATTTAGTAAAAAAAAAATTTCATAAGTAATCTTAGCAATGTTATTTTGATAACTTAATTAAGAATTCTTTTTTTTCTTTTTTTAGAAATTGAATAGATAATTTAGCCTAAAAAATTATTTTATAAATTATAAATTATCATTTGTAGATAATTATTCATTTGGTTTCAAAAAATTGATGTTGGAATAATTTGTAACTAATTATTTGCTACAATTACCAACAAAATTTTACAACTAATTAAAATTACAAATTATTGATTTAGTTGCAAATGAATAGTATTGAGAAAATAATATATTTATTAATAAATTAATTAATTTTAAATTGTTTACAAAAAATTACATTTTTGCAATAATCATTTTGAATCATTTAAGTATAATGTAAGTGGTGTTTGAAATAATAATAATAATAAAATAAAGATAAATTATTGAAATATTTATTATAACAATAATTTTAAGGTGTAAAAATGATTTTTAAGAATATTTAATATATCTATAAATAAAAAAAATCAAATATTAGTAGAAATAGAGAAGAAATAATTAAATAATAAATAATAATTGATAAGGAATGATTAAAAATTAATTTGATATATTTTAAATAAAAAGAAGTTAGAGAAAAAAATTGTTAAAATATATCGAGAAAGAAGTAAGCAATGCGAGAGTGAGACAACTCATGAGAAGGAAAATGTTTTCCTCTTTTTAAAGCTGGGAAAATTTTTTTTAATAAATACTCTATTATTTTTCATTGATCGAAAGTCATTTTTTGTTGACTTTTTTCCTAACCGTGAAATAAACACTCGAAAAATGAGAATACTAAATAAAGCTAGAAATCATCGGAATATTTATGGTAGCTTTTTAATTGTTGAAATGGCTTGATCCAAATCATTTGATGTAAGAATAATACTTTGTACAAGCGAGCAAGTTCCTCCACTATTATCGATGTACTTGGAATGATTATGAATGGATATTCGATCTATTAATTCAATTTTTAACCTAATTATAAAAAAATATTTTTCTCATTATTCATTAAGAAATTATCATGTAAATCTTTATCCAGTTCACATCCAACCCACATTAGTTTACCTCTACATTTAATTTTCATTTAATATCTCCTAAAAATAATTTATAAAAAAATATTCATTTTAGTTCCTATAGTTTTCAAGAAAAGTCTTTTTGGTCCTTGATTCTTTTTTGCATTTTGATCATTTCTTTAAAAGTTTTTTTGATCCTCAAAGTTTTTGAAAAAAATATTTTAATCCTTAATTTTTAAATTTTATGCAATTAGATTCTTATATGTTACAAAAAACAAAATAAATTAGTGGATAGTAATATAATAAAAAGTGAATACTCATATCCTAAAATTATTGGTAGATACATATTTTTTTTTTCACCCTTATCCATTTCAATATCTATTAATATTTTTAATAGTAATTATTGAGTAAGGTTACGCGAATATCCATTTTATACTTGGCTCATTATAATCTCTATCAATGTACAATGAATAAAACTATAGAAGATGAAAAAAAAATCATGTTTTGCATGAGCCCAACATGTTTTTTCTCCAGTTGCTTAATTACTTTTTTCATCATGGATATATGCTCCCTGGATTGTAAAGAAAAACAAAGGTTAAAAAACTTCATTTTTTTTTTTTTTCCAGGAGATGGGTGCGCATATAAGAGTTACAATAACAACAAACTACTTTTCCAAGTAGTATGATTAAACATAAATCGCATTGATTCAATGATTCCAAAGTGTCAAAATTCTTATGATCATCGTGCAGAATCATTCCGATCAAACCTCTTGAAGCCATTCGCAAATGATTACTTAAAAACAACCTTGAGACACTTCAACGCGGAATGCAAATAAAAAAATTTAAACAGAAAATAAAAAATAGAATAAGAAAAATTCCATCCGATAAGGCCTACGTGAGAATTGGAAGAATTGCAAGCTAAAAGGGGAATCAATTCTTTTGACTGTTGGTATAAAGAAGCAATTTAGCAGTCCTCAAAGAGAGAAACAACCGCTGAAGGGCATAATTCAAGTAGACTAGAGATTTAGATGCCATAAGATAAACTTAATAATGATGCCTCAGTCTCCTGATATAAGAAGATAAGATAGAAGCTATGGATTCTTTATTGGGATATATATATAAAAGGCTCTGATTTCTTGCTTTGTGGTGGAGTATCTTATTGTTAAAATAATTAAAGATTTTGCTTTAGTATTTCAATTGAACATTCCTATTTGGTTGAGACTTGCATATGTTTGGGGGAGGCTGTCTAACCAGTTAAGGTTCCGTTCCTGACTTGCTTAAGAAGATAGGGTAGGGGCCGCGTTAGAAAATGACCTCTGACTGTGCATCCAATGTCTAGTCTGCACTACTTTCATGCCAAAATATGCCTTCATATCATGGGAATGCATCCATTACAACCTATGAAATATATGTGTTAATTTATTTTTTTGGGCTTGGCAGGTCTCGAGGAATCTTACTGTGTTAACTTATAATGATTCGATCAGAGGTACTACAAGAAAATAGAGTCATAGCGATGGATTTTTTTTTGTCGTTATATTGAATTAACGATGAAAAAAATTCCATAACCAAAATGTTTGTCGGTAACTCTTGAGATGGATTGAACAGTATTTGTCGCTTATATAACGATAGAATATCTGTTGCTAAATATTTTTTTTGTCGTTAATTTGACCCCAAAATAGTCGTATTCACACCATATGACACGTTGCAAATCCGTTACAACCACGGACTTAATCCGTCACGAAATAATGATAGAAAAGTCGTTTCAATTATCCAATACTAATATTGGTCACGAATTTGTCACTAGCTGGTCGTTTAATCTTCGTTATATAGCGACAGAAAAAACTTCGCTGTTATTTCAAAAGAATTCAATTATTGTCTTTATTTTGTCACTAATCCATCCGTAATATGTCGCTAATTCATTTCTAGTCTCGTCACTAATCCATCTCAATTATTTAAAAAAAAATTAATTTTGTTTTTATTTAATTTTAAAATTTTGATATTCTTGAAAGTAACTAACAATTAAAACAAATAACTTATCCTAAAAATTAATTTTTTAATAAAATTAAAATATTATAAATTAAATAAAAGTTATTTGTTAGTAAGTAAGAAAAAGATTACAAACATAAAAGAAAAAAAGAAGAAGCAAAAGTCACTTCATATCATGATCATGTAATCCCTCTCATCTTCTTAGGGCTCATTGGGAGGGACGAGTGGAGTCTTGGAGCTTGCTGGGAGGGATGGTGGAGTCCCGGGGCTCACTTGAAGGACGGTGGTATCCTAGGGCTTCGCTGGTAAGGATGGTGGAGTACGAAGGATCATGCATTCTATAGAGGTGCGAAATAAACAAAAAAAAATTTTCCCTCCATCTAAGGGCCCAAGATTAAGTTATTGAATCTACTTACCATACATGCATGAATTTAAAGCGATGAATAAGAATTACCTCTTGAAGCGAAGATCTAAATTCTTTTATCGGAAAAATTCGTTCAAGTGTCTAGCCTCTATTGATGATCCACGCAATTCAAATATCCACAAAGAAGCATTCAAAATCAATATGATGTTAGCTCCACCTTTTTTTTATTCGTGTAGTATTTCCGATAGAAATTTAATCCGAGTAATTTTGCGATAACCTTAAAGAAGAAGAAAAGACTGTGGTGTACTAGGGTTTTGGAAAACAAACTATTTTCTCCTCTTTTTTTTCTTCTTATCGTGTGCCCAGGTGGCC